CAATATATATATATAATATTATCAAAATTGTGTGTTACATCGGATGTAGATCATTTTCTTGACATAAGGAAATCCTCCCGCTTGCCTCAGATGTGTCCGTGGAGAATTACAACATTTTTATCGAAAAAAAAGAAACAAGTGGATATAAATTTGAATATTACAACGGCACTGTATATATAGTTGATATGCGTATGAAGCTGTTGTTGAGGTGCTACGTCAGTGTTTCACTGCTCACTGCCTTACTTATGCTATTTATGATGCCCCAATATTAATTTTGTTTTTTTTTTTAGGCAAAAATCCAAGATATACTTAACAAAGAAATGGATGTCAGCCCTAATTTTTTCGAAATCATCGACGCCTTTAAAAAATACGAAGATGAAAGTGATGATGAGCTGTCCAAGACAAATTCATGGATAGCCGTGTAAGATATGGAATAGTATAGAAGTATAAATAAGAACCGGGGAATAAGCATTTTGATACTATTATGGCAGATAGGAAATTTTATAACACTTAATGTGATTGATATAGGGAAACCCTTACGCAAGAATAATTTGTGAAGTAGCCATGGCCCAAACTTTCTCCAACTTGAAGCGCAAATGCAAGCTTTGGATGCGACAATCGTACGTACGATCTGTACTTGGCATTAAACTTTATGATATAATGAATACACGCAACAACCCACAAGGAAAAAGAGATCGGGCGATGAAGGTATATCATATTTTTTATTTTATTTTATATCTATATAATTTATATATTTCACTTTTAAATATTAGGCTACACTCTGGCAGCAAAGTGATCCAAAACAAAAGGTAAATAGACTATCGAGGAAGAAAGTTTTACTTCCCGCTTTTTTGATGCACAAAGTCCATATTTATATGATAGTGGAAATTTGGTACTGTAAACAAAGACGGTTCCTCACTGGTCCTACTGACTGTAATAGCCCGACTGTGTAATTACAATCCCTGTTAGCGATGTATTTTACGATCCAGCTGTTCCCGCAATCGGATATACTCCGTTACCTCCTCCTGCAGCATTGATGAATGCAGTTTTTACAATCGATTTATATGAAATTCAGCAAATGGTCAGGCAAAATAAAAACCATAAGACATGTAAGTTAACCGTACTGATAGCGATTAAGTTTTGTTCATAATAATTCTAATGCAAACTAACTCAACTTTTAACCACATACTATGTGTCAACGGAATAGCAAGTTCTATAACTGAATTTTGTAAAGTAACTCATGACAGAAATCGCGATAGGTCCAGTGCAAACTAACTCAACCTTAAACAAATACTATATGTCATCAGAAAAGCAAGTTCTGTATCAGGATTTTTTTTAAATAATTCTAGTGCAAACTAACTAACCTTGACCATATACTGTGTGTCATCAGAATAGCGAATAAGTTTGTAACTAAATTCGTTATAGTAACATGATAAAAACATGATAATTCCAATACAAATCATATGTCACCTAATACCGCAAAAGTGCTATCTGTAAATTTAGCGATGAGGAAAATATTATGATTGTAAAATGCAGTTATATATGTTTGAATGAATATAATTTTGAAAGGAGCATCTTTATAACAGCTGAAGTAATCATTAGGAGTTGTGCATCATCAGGTGATCTGCGAATTTTCTCCCATATGATTTTTTCAGCTTATTCAATTAATGGATAATATGAATTCGATTGAAAGTTATCAATATAAATATTTTTCTAAAATATAATACGTACAAAATTATAAAAATAAACTTATCAAACCTTTCTGAATAATGAGGCCGTCATATTTCCTAAATGATTAACAAGATACTTCTGTATTACGTTTAGAACTTTTTTTTGCCTTTTTTTTAAGCTCTTGACGGCAATTGCACCAATAAGTGAACGTTGTCTTTTTATTTTGTTTAATATAATGCTTCTTATGATAAACATAAAAGTCCGTCACCTTTCTCGCAGAGCCTTACAATCTCAATAATCTCAATCGCTATTAAGTTTGCATGTGATTCATCAATATTTTCTAATTTATCTATTCGTTTTGCAAATTTTGAGATCCGTGCCCGTGGGCGGATTACCCGCACCATCCGGATAGTAAAAGAAATTCTGCAACAGAATTTATGCAAGTAATCATTAGTTAAATTGTATTTTATTTATGCGGCACTCAACAACGCTTTTTTATACTCATGCACTAAAGTAAAATAAACTATATAATAGTAAATATTCATAACTTATTTTTTTAAATAAAATGAACAAGTGTTATATAAATATTTGTGAGCCTGATATCTTGATTAAGTGCTAGATTAATATAAACTCACGCACTAAATATAAATACGTAGTAAATTTTTATCCCAGATTGTGATATTCAAAAGTCATGACTGGATATGATCTCTTAATCATTTAGGCCACAATCAGGTCAATTTTGCAATTCTGCCAACGGTTGACCGCCCGGGTGGTCCCCGGGTCACCTGCTCACCCGTGGGTCAAGACCCGAAAAAATTGGTTTCCATAATTACAAAAAATGGTTTGGTTTATGGCAAAAAATGTTTTTTATTGCGATAGAATATTTAATCAAAATTTAACTAAAATACATTATTTTAGCATTTGTAAAAAATCTAAACTAAGATTTGGTCTAATATGTTATAATTTAGAACCGCTATTACAAAAAATGATTGTAAGCCAAGAACATAGCTTGTCAACATTTCTAATAAAATATTGTTATTTACAAATATATACCAATTAAATCTTTAATATATACCTGCTAGTGCTTGCTAATTCTTTGCAAAAACATACTGTAAAGACCTAACTAAATCTCAAGACAATCAAATGTGCTTGAAATATTTTAGTATTTTGACGATGAATTAATATTTATAGTATATATGGGCGCTTTTCAATAGAAAGGGGGTAGATCTACTTTTTGGCTAAAAATTTTTTTTTGACCTATTAAATAAAGCATAACCAGATATATGATTCTAATTAAAAGTTAAATTATACTAGCTTAATAATTTTTTAAGTTTTTACATATAATCTTTATTATCTAGTACTGTATACAGTACTGGTGTGACATGATTTTTACATAGTGAAAAATTAATAGTCACATGTATTGCACAATTGTTTACATCACATGGCATATATAAATAATATTTTAAAAAATTGATCTACATTATTTGTCACCGGTAGTTGTTTTGATCTACAAAAAACATGATTTTCTCAAAATTTTTGATCAAATCTAAATGGAGATCTACCTCTTTTCTATTGAAAAGCGCCCATATATATAATTTAATTGGTTACTTAACACATACAGTACATCCTAGAAAGTGATTAATTATGAGAAATTTTTTCGGTTCTCTGCCCACGTGTGACCGGGTAATTCCTACTCGGGTTGGAACATTAGACTAAACTATTATAAGAGGGTTTAAAAAAACTCTATTTCATCTTATATATACTTAGAATCAATTTATACTGATTCTAAATCTACAAAGATTTATTTTGACATATATTGACATAAGTTACAACTATCTTGATCTTTATAAATCACTTAAACTCCTAGCTCTTTATAGTGAAACAACAAATTTTGATATTTACAAATTAAAAAATCATTTCTAAGCCCTAATTTGCTGTGGCATGGTGGACAGCATAAATTTCCTACATTGACTCAGGGTCGATCTGTCCAATAAAAGTATGAAAGTTTCAATCACATGCACGATTTTTAATCAGTCTTATAATAATTCGAAAGATTTTTATTTACTAGATCAAGAATATCTCATGAACTAGCAGTTAGAATTTATACCATTTGATTCATCTCAATGAGACGAATCTAATGATATAAAAATTATTAAATCTTATCTACTGGATCATAAGATATCCTCAATCTTTTATAAAATTTGTTTCTAAAATAACTTCTTAAATACTCTGATTAGCTTTGATTGTTTTTTATAAAATGTACGTCTTTGAGAGCTTTTTTTGCTATTTGTTTTTTAATGAATTTAGTTGGTAGGCTACAAATTAAGAAGTACTTTAATGCATATAAAAAGGTAGAAAAAATTTTTATTCAATTACGACAATCATCAATTCAAGTGCCCATATTAGATTATATAGATAGTATTATACAGGGGACATCCATAATTACGTTAAACCAGTATTGTTATAGAGGTCTTAAAGGATAATATTTTTTAACTATACAATGCAGTACTGGTTGACATACATTATAGATGCCTCCAATATTGTTCTGTGCTCCTCAGCAGTATATTTGATAAATAGAAGTAGTAAGGGCGTGTATTAAGATATCAAGATACTGCAGTATTGGTTATCAAAAGTCAGTGTCTTTAGAATCATGTAATTAAATGTGGCAGATTAAAATAAAATCGAATTAAAATTTTTTGGGGGACATTTTTTAGGGTTAGGGTTTAGAGTTAGTTTTATTAATAAAAGAGTATAATTGGGTTTTATAAGCTTTAAAGATGAGTAAGAAAGATCTCCAGTTCATTTTAATCTGATTTCATTACAGTGCAAGATAGCATAAACCAACACATTTTTTTGTAAAATGCACCAAATTTTAAAACAAATACTCAATTCTGATTGGCTAATATAATATAATCAATTGTAATTGGTCAAAAATAATATATGAGTTTATTTTTTATATAGTAAATGCCAAATTTTTAATTTCATAGTAAACTTTAAATTGATATATCTTTTTAAAATTAAAATATTTTTTAGCCAAATTGTAGCTTAAACTTAAAGCTACAAATTGACTAAAAAATTTTTTTAAATTTTTTTTATTTTAAAGTTATATTAATTTTTGTAAAATACATATAAAAAGATATTGGTTTATAGTGTCCCACACTGTATAATCTGCGACATGTTATAATACATGTATGTACATGGTTTAGAAATCAAATCCAGGACCAAACCTGGTTTTTAAAAAAGATTGCGAATACTAGAATGCTTTATTTCCAATTAAGGATAAATAAAGTATAAATAATAATAACAATTACAATATGTGTTTGAAGAAAAGATTAGATTTTTTTTCTTATAAATTTTACTTACATTATTAAATTTTATCACTTTTAATATTATTTTTATATCTCTTCTTTATTGTTATAGTTATATTTTCTTATGAAATTTATTTACATTATTAAATTTTATCGCTTTTAATATCATTTTACTTCTTTATTGTTTTTTTTTTTTTTTTATGAATTTGGCAATCATGCCTTAACTTTATTAGGCTTTGTACAAATCTTCTAGACTCGTAAAATTTTACACTAAGTTGCATTTCAGAAGGTA